TTGGTTGCAGTGCAGCGTCTTCATACAAAACTTCAAACGGTGTTCTTTTTTTCTTTTTGTGCAGCCGCCTGCTGCCGATGTGATTCTGCTCTCTCTTGGTTTTGCTGCGTCTTGCTAACAAGCTTCCACACATGAGGCTCACCTGTTGTGATGCAATTTTGTGTTGCACGGAGTCTCAGGTAAGAAAAAAAATACAAGAAATGAAAAAGGGATAATAAAAAGCTGTTTGCAAATCCTTACCCACGGTTTGCAATCTATATGCATGGTTTCCTAGACTGTGTGCATGCAGATTACAAACCCTTGTGCCCAGTGAGGACTTTGGCTGCTATTTAAAACAACAACAGCATTATTTGACAATGTTATTAAGACTTGGTCAATTATTTCCACGCTGCATAACATCGCTCTCTCTCTCCGATTCAGTGCACCGCAGGCAGTAAAAAAAAAAAAAAAAAAAAGGTTAGGTCTTCACTGCATGACCATGTGTCTCAGAAATTAATCACATTCTATTTTGCAACATTTTGTTTTGTTTTTCTCTTTTTGGCTTAATCTTTAATACACTACAGGCTGTACCAACTATCACAGGTACTTCTAATTAACACTACACTACAGGTGGAACAAACAGTGACTTGCACTATTGCCAGTTCAAAATAAATGACATAGATTTGTGCATTTGAGTGACCTCTGTGTACCATTACCTGGTAAACAGGTTGGACTTTAATCACATCACCCAGGTTTAAGCCTCTTTACACCTACCGGCAGCACATCTTAGAACTGGATTTAAGATTCTTTTGATTAACTGGAGGCACTAAATGGTCTGACTCCTGAGTAAAACTCGGAGCTTTTATCACAGTTTGACCCGACTCACACTTTTGAATGCTCTGGCATGGGCCCCTTTTTATCTGTTCCAGTTTCTTGGCTAAAGACAAAAGGGGACAGAGCTTTTGGAAAAAGAGCCCTGGGGCTCTTGAATTACCTGCCTGAGGAAAAACAGCAGGCTCAGTCAGTGCATGGCTTCTTTTGAATCTAATCTTAAAACAAACTTTCATTGCCGAGCGTTTCGTTGATTTCCTTTGATTGAAGGTTTCATTTTGTTTAAGAGTTTTTGGCTTTTTTAAAGTGGTATATTATATTTAGTGTATTTCATTCCTTTACTTTTTATTTTTATGGGTGCCTTTATGTCAAATACGTTTTTTGCTTGCTATGTCAAGCCCTTAATAACTTTGTTGCGCTAAGTGCTATATAAACAAAGATACCGTTAATTCTAATTTATTGCTCCTCATAGCTCTACAGAGCAGCGTCGCATCTTTCAGTGGAGTCTCTTTTTCTTACTAGATTGTTTTTTAATTCTGGAACATGGCTATCAAATATAGTTCAGATAAAGTCAAAAGAAAACATCCAAACCAGTTAGCTTTCGCCGCTTTTGTTTCTATAACTTTTGATTTGTTCAATCTGTTACCACCAAAACAAACCAAGCAAGCTGTTAACATGGGAGAAACACAAATCAAATCATCTCACTGTTGACAGATTAGAAAATCAGAGCAATCTTCTTCAATGATTGATGGCTTTAAAGCAGAAACATAAAACAGTAAGGTCTTATGAGGATGTAATGAATCAATCATTGTCAACAGAAACATATTTTATGCCGTGATGGCTATTGTTGTGTTTTTCTAGTTGACCTTATTTGGTGAAGCATATTTAGGCTGACAAGCTGCCAAATGACAGGAAGTTCCCCAAACTAAAGACTTCCTGCATGAAGCTAATATTATGAAATCCATATCAGCAGTATAAACCGTAACTGATTGAACATGTCACTTCAAAATCGAATCCTTTCAAGAAAAATACATTTCTTTCAGCTTGTCCCCACAAAAATGGCTTTGTGTCTGTGACTTAAATAACCCCCCCCCGCAAGAAAAGAAAAGTGAGTGAGTGATTATTCATAGTCTGTAATTTCATTTTCTAATTTCTTGCTTTTTAGCCCCAGTGCCTGTTTGCAAAAAGAAAAGATGAATACACTGCAAGCCTGGCCTAATGTCGGGTATTTATCAGTGCCAATTAAACAGGCACAATTTGTAGCCCACTGGAAGAGACAAATAATAGCAACTTTGATCCTGAATAATTACAAATCAATAAAATACTTAAAAAAAGAGAAACTGTGTGATCCTTTTTAGTCTGCTCTCTCCTGATCAATGAACTCGTTTTCATTTCATGCTTGTGCTTAGAATAGTTCTCCTGAAAACTTTTTATATTCAGTTCATTTCCCTAAATTAAAAATATATAAAAGAAAATACTTGTACATCAATGATACTTTGGTATTGCTGATACCAATTAAAGATGAAATCAAGTATACAGAGACAGGTAGAGTTTGAATTTGCAGATCAAATACAGACGTACCCATGGGCTAAATATTACATTTTTCCATGCATTTGTGTTAATATATTTACATACATGTACATACTGTTGCATGGAATCATTAATACATTTACAGTAAGAGTAAAGCTGTGAGTGTATTCTGTGTGTTTGTGTCAGTGAGCGTATACTGCTACTTTGTAGCTGTCTTTGATTGCTTTGAACAACGCTAATCAGGCGTCTTTGTACAAGCAGCAAACAGACAACGTCGAAAAGGAAAGATGAGAGAAGTTAAACATACTACTGGTACCAGTTTCACTCACTTCACAGTACGGTTGTCACGGAAATCACAGCGGGCAGGCTGTTTTTGTGTTTGTTAGTGAGTGCAAGTATGTGTGTACTGCAAAGGACGGCTGAGTAAGCAGTGTAAGATGGATACAGTGGCTTTTGTGTGTGTGTGTGTGTGTGTGTGTGTGTGTGTGTGTGTGTGTGTGTGTGTGTGTGTGTGTGTGTGTGTGTGTGTGTGTGTGTGTGTGTGTGCCTCATATGGCCGGTGGGACACAGTTAGAAGGGAGTTGTGCTGATTAGTTAAGGGACCATGAGGACAGAAGGGGAACAATACCAACTTCTCTCTCAGCATCTGACTCTTTTGTAAGAGTGCACCACTTCTCCCTCTCGTCCTCTACCTCCCTCTCTGTTTCTGGTTCCACACCAATGTGATGAGGTCAGACTGGGGCACTGTCGTGTTTGTGGCATGGCCTCGGGGCACCACCATGCTGCCACCAGTGACATCATTGCTTACGGGGGGTACAGTCTGAGCCAACATCACGTCTGTGTCATGGCTTTCAACTGAGAAAATAAAGTGTGGTTCCAATTAGGAAAAATGTGATGAATTAAGAGAGAGCGAGTCTGTGCTTGAATTTGTTTTTCATGCCTTTTAAATTTGTGTGTTAGAACGGATGTGGATATATAAAAAAATATATCGACCAATCCAAGTTAAATGAGACATTTGGGTTAAAAAAAATACCCTCCTTGAACATTTTGAGGGCCTTCTAGTTGCCTGGAGGGGAGATGAGAGAAAGTGGCACTTCATCTGAAATGAGTCTCGCTCTTAATCTTTTACAAGATTAATTAACTGATCTCTTGGATGTACTCTCCCTTAAGTGCACACGTGTATTCCACCGCTGTCTGTGTGTGTGTTTTGTCAGAGCCTGCAAAATGTTGGGAGTGCACCCAATTAGTTATAAACACCTAGCTACCTGCGCCGACAATAGCTCATGGCTGTTCACATACATTTACACTTTAATTAAACAGTTGAGGCTATTAATTAGTCAGTCAGGAAACAGAAGGACTCATCAGTCTGTGGTAGGTTGAACCAACGAGTGGAAGTTCACAGGAGGGGTGTGTAAACATAAACATGTGCAAACAGTTCACTATGCTTGAACCCAGATACTAATGCTTTGTATTAAACACCGGAACAAATACAGACAGGGTTAATGAATGCTAATAAGCATTTACATGGTGGTTGAAAATGTAAATAGACAAACAAGATATTCATTGTTTGAATGCTAGAAGATTCTGGATCAAGTTTATATTTATGAATAAACTGCTAAAATACAATTGCATAAGCTGCGCGATTGTGTCTCTGAGAATGTTTTCAAACAATGGCTTTAAGTTGATGTTATTCTGTTTTCGCTGATTATTCCATGATTCTCGGTATATAAACGTATGCAACTAAACTGGAAATGTATCCCATCCAAAGCCCTTAAAGTCTTGGAAATAACAGCACTTTCTGTTTCTGTGCAGTCAGTGTAGCACACACTTCTGTGAAAAAAAAAAAAAAACCTTATGTACGACAACAAACTGAAGACAAATACACATTTTGGAAAATTAAACAGTTTCATACTCCATCAAATTTAGATTCTAGGCTGCTGTTGTGAAAGGATTTTTTAATGATCAAAACATAGTTTACACTTACCGGTAAGTGGTTCTATGAATGAACACATTTTGGCAAAGGACATTTTAAAAAGTTTGTGAGGCGCACTCATTTAATCATATTCTAAAAACAAGTGTTTATATCTTTTATAAAGGTTTTAATTGAAAGCAGCATAGTTTTTCTTTATTTGAAACACGCCCCAGTGATTCATGGGTCAAATAAAAAAGCAAGCTTTATCGAAGCTCCATCAGGATGAAGTGTTACCATCAGCTTTGGCAGCAACAGCCATAAACATACGCTAACTACACCTTTATTTTTCCTCTTCAGCAGTACCCCATCTTTTTTAAATCTCAGAGCCCATAATGTTTGATAATGGGATTATATATATAACATTCCTATGTTTCATGCTGGGATAAGTGGGTCATTTATCCAACCTCTTAGTGTCTTCATGAAGCTATTTCTACTCTGTTCTCCTTCACTTATCTCCTCTCTGCACCCATCAATTTCTAGCGTCTTTAAAAATGTACAGCCTTTTTTTAATGTTATGACCTTGGAGAAAAGAAAAGAAAAAAATAATCTAAAGCCTCCTTCACATCTAGTATTAGTGTTCTGTTTTAAGAGCTCCTGGGATTAAAGTTTCTAAAGTGGGGGCTGGAGGGTGAGGTAAGGGTTGACGAGTCACGTCGGCATGCATAATGAGTGCATCTGTGTGTGTTACCTCTCTGTCCTTGAGGACAGCCTGAGTTCTGTAGAGCAGCAGAAGACGAACATCACTGTCTTGAAGGCTGAAGTTACTCTCCAGGATCTGCAGCACCTCAATCCGAGGGCGCACTGGCAGCGACGCGTCCCCGCAGAATGGATGCAGCCAGGCCAGGAGGTCATCAGAAGTCACGGTACTGTCGCTGAGGGAGGAAAGTGAAGAGGACAGCAGTCAGACAGGCCAGGTAGAGACAAAGAGACATGGAAGTAGCAATGTCTTGGAGAAACTGCAATTCTTGTGTCTTTTCTTGTTCATTTAAATCATAATGTGATCATAATGTGTTTACAATTTTAATCATAATGTGTTCAGGAATATATAAGTAATTCAAAGAAAATAGGTTTTGTCCTGCAGATTTTATTCTGATACAAAAAAAGCGCTGCAGTGATGTGTCATTACTTTTGAAAATGTTTTTGTTTCGTTTTTTTCGTCCATGCTTTAAAACTTGAAAGGAAGAATGTGCAACTTTTTGATCCAGTAGATGTCGCCCCTTGAGTACCAGCATGAAACCAAAACAAACTGCTGTTTATCTGCACCGCCATCGTACTGACGCCTCTGCTTTCCTCCAGCGACACACCTCCGACCTGACTCCACTCACAGCTCGCACGGAGAGTTTAGCACAAGAGACCGAAAAAAATTGGGCTTTTATTGTTGTGTGAGCAGGCTAATGTAAGCACACTGTAGTTAGCTCGTAGCATCACATTGCATTCACAATGACACAGAATGGCTGTGATCTACAGCGCTTACATGGCATCAATAAAGAACTGTTATTCTTTTTTTCTCTAGTCCTTGACTAAAACCGCTTTATACGCAAGAGGAGGAGCCGGCTGTACCGTCCATGTAAACACAGCTCCGACAACAACACAGCATCTCCCTCACTGTAGAAAGCCATGACTCAGAGAGACATTTACAGAGGATATACTTGATTTCTGCTGTATTTATGTGTAAAATGTTGCACACTCTTTCTATTAAGGAAGAAACCCAAAACCAAAGGAGTTTTCCTCTTCTCAAACATGACAATGTGTATGATTTCTTTTTTGGGTTGTTCAATTTAATATTTTTTTCCCTCCAAGACAACATTAGGAAAAAGCAATGCATTAGAACCAAACATTCAAAATAGGCCGAAGATCAATACCAAATGAATATAATTGTTTGTTGCAGTGCTAATCAATACATCTCAGGAGAAAAAGCTTAGCTGATATTGCTTTGAGAATATCCACACCTACAGACAGATTAGCAGTCATTTTGTCACTGATCCATTACTCTTCTTTGATCTGTTCCCCTGATTATCACAAAAGAGCTGCCAAGGGAAATCAGGTGCTTTCTAAATGTTGTCATCTCAGAGAAGCTAGCAAACAGACATTTTGCTGGCATTTGAGAGGTCTTAATTTTGGGCTTTGACTAGAGCTGAGAGAATTAAGAGAGGGTGACAAATGAAGAAAAACATGTTTCAAACCAAATTTTATCCGCACAGGATCTAAAAACACAACGCTGGATTATCCCCCCCATGCTTTGGATTTATTTATCTGACCTTCTAGAGGATGATTTAGTGTAACGAAGGACACAATCATCATCAGGGAAGTTTTTTCTTTTATGTGTGTGAGAAGATTTCGACAACCTACCCAGTCTGGACATTGTTGTGCACAGCTGTAACCATGGCCTCCAGGACCCTGAGGGGTTGTGGGAAATTTGTGAGGGCGTCTGGGTCTCCACTGAAAAACAGACCAAATCACCACCGTTATCTTTAAAAAAAAAAAACACTAATTACAAGAACAAGACTTTCAAAGAACCACAAAATAGTAGGAAAACAAAGATTACAAGAGGTAAATCACAGGCTTTGTTCCTGGTGAAAGTGTTAGTTAAAAATCAGGCAGCGATTACATGTTTGAAGCAGGACTCCACATTAAAACTGCACGCTGGCACGGACACACTGATAGACTCCGAACTAGCTGCTCGCACATTCCACTGGCCAGCTTGAGCCAGTTAAAATATTGCCATAGAAATAACAAACAGCAATATATAACCTTTATTTACACATTTCTTTCCTTCGATAATGGTGTTTTGTCAGTGATTCTTGTGAGATCATCTATCATCAGGCTTCTATTACTGTCTTAAGCTGAGAGTAATTTACTGCTGTTTGAATACAACCCCGCTTTTATTTTGGAATACAGTAAGGACCCTCTGGTAGATTAAAGGATAAGACATTAACTTAACCACAGAAAAGGAACTTGTTACAAAACATATAAAAGAATGGTAAAAAGTGAAATGTTTGATGTCACGAGGTGGATATTACTTTAGACTCGTCAGCTGAGCCGTGTTTTTTTTTTTTTAAGTGAAATGAGACATTCAAAGATACAGCAGTGTTGTTCTTTTCCATCAATGGGACAACAGGGAGACACTGTGGAGACACTTATCCACAGTGAGCCTAAAGGGACTAAATAGCATGCGATTAATCACGACTAAAAAAAAGAATGCATTCATTTCAGGCCTTAATTAATCGCGATTACCAAGTTGATGCTGACAGCCCTAATCAGAATACATAAAAAGTACAGATGTTAGCACATACAGAAAGAAGCAGCTTGTCTTTTTAATTTGATGTGAATGAAATAGGTTTAATGGCACATAATAGCGGTTGAGTTAAAAAGGTAATATATGATATTTTCTGCGGTATCAAGTATCGGCTGTTGTTGCTGTGTTCTACAGCAGTGTATGTCTCTCAATGTGTGTGTGTGTGTGTGTGTGTGTATGTACTGTATGTTGCAAGAGGAGGGCCATTTTTCACAACGACAGAAAGGGAAAAAAAGGGTGATTTCCCCTGACTCAACTGCCTTTTGCTCCTGGGCACGGGTGTGTACACACACACACACACACACACACAGATACATCCACTCACATCGACATAGAAATGATCTGGCAAAAAAGGTGGGGAGACAACGCAGCATTTTCTTTATTGCATTTTACCGCTTACATTTTCTCTTCAAAGATGCAGAAACACAGAGCGGTTATGACAGATACAAAAGATGGCTATTAGTGTGAAGCTCAGGTAAGCCTGCTGCGCCAGACTGAAAGGCTTCCAGAGAGGCAAAAACAAGAGCAGGCTCATTCATATCTGCCAAATGCAATGCTTTGAAAAAGCCCTGCAACAACAGACACACACACACACACTGACACACAGTCATACATGAATGAATCAAGGGATGTTCATATGCAAGAGCACAGAGTGACACGTTAGAGAAAAATAAAACCCTCCTGTGAATACATAAGGCTGTGTACACACGCACACGCACACGCATGGACTTATTGAGAGTGAGTTTGTGCTGATGTGTGTGAGAGCAGAATGAGATCTGCAGGGGAACAGCTGTATCTAGCTGCATTAATTACAAGAAGATAATGAATCAAGGAGTGTGCATGCAAGAAGGTGTGTGTGTGTGTTCATCAGGGATAGTGCGTAGATGTCTACTTAACTAGCCAAGTGTCGGCACACGCGCACTCTAATTTTCTGGTGTGTGTGTGTGTGAGTGCTGATGCCATTTATCTGCACCATGCGCCATTGAGCAGCCATAAAGTAGCAGGAAATGAGGTGGGAATATAATCAAGGCGATTGGCGCTCATTTATCAAGCCAATCAGAGGCCCCGATGATATCTGGCCGTGTCAGTGAAACCTTGATCCTCAGTTTGTCAGTATTAGCAGACAAGGTCCTCAGGGCATGAAGGACAAACATCAAAAAAAAAAAAAAAAAAAGAGATGTGACTCTGAAAATTAACTTTTAATCGAAGCCCATGAATTCACCTTTCAAAGTGTTTTCTCGCCTGTTTAAAGAAAGTTTGTGTTTTGTTGGGGGTTTCTAAGTTGTAGAAATATCTATGTTTTTTTCCATGGCCCTTAAAATGTAGCACCTCTGCAGACATGTCGTGGTGAATCATCTCTCCCTTCCTTGAACATGAGGAGCAAGAAGACACCAATAAAAAGCTGTGAGTCCAACTCCCACAGGCAGCTACTGTAGATCCAATTCTACACTTCAGGCATTTGTTTTGACAGTCTTTTTCCCAAGCAACACACTGAGCCCAAAGTGGACCTATATATGGGTTTATTTTCAGATAACAACCAGTAGAGATCTGGCAGTAGGAGGTTTGTTTGGGTGGCCTTCAATATTTAAGAACAAACACCATAAAGCTCCCTTTGGAGCTGGATATAGCTAGGGCTCTTGATCCAAGTTGTCTCCATGTGGATGATAATGCAGTTTGACAAGGCGTGAATGTAAAGTAGATTAAAATAAGGAGCAACAGAAATAAATGTACTAAACTGACAATTTGATTTTCCTCATGCCTCCATTGAGTTTGTGAAACAGAGAGGTATGTTTAGTGCACACACCACAGTAGCACAAAGTTAGTGTTCAAAACTATCATATTAAATACAGGTTATTGAATACCTCGGGGCTTACAGGGGGCTGACATGTATGTTACAGCACCTGCAGAGGGAGGTGTCAAATACAAAGTGTTCTGACTCCTGAGGTAGAGGTTGCTTACAGTTAATTAGCACTCCGTTCAGAAAATAGAGGGTGATGTTTATGGAACAAACTGTAAAATGTTTCACTTCTTTAAAACACCTGTATGAAATGATTTATTTATTACACTTGTGTTGTCAATGTGAGGTGAAAGTCAGTGCCCAGCAGTACAACCTTTTTACATTTTGGTGTATGGATGACTTTGTTTAAGCATGATTTCATTTATTGAGTTTCAAGGTGCATAACGTCATTTTATTGAACTCAAGAAGAAGCCACCCAGGCTGGCAGTTTCCCTGCCTCTAGTCTTTACGCCAAGCTAATAGCTTCCCCGGTTCCTGCTCAATAGCTACAGCTCAAACATGAGTGTCATTGATTTTACTTATCTGACTCTAAAGCATTTACTACAACAGGCTTTATAATTCCTATAAGTGCTAAGCCAATCTTGCCTGTGTCATAATGCACGTTTCCAATGGGAAGATTTTTTGAACATTAGTATTAAATTAATTATTTTGTTGAGTATTATTTGGGTTTATATAAATAGAGATAAAAAAAAATAGAGGAAGAGAAATAATACCTGAGTGCAGCAACCACTCTGTCAACGGCATCTCCAAGCACAGTTTTGACTGACAGGTCTAGAGGTCCAACGGCCACGCGAAGAAGCTGTCCAATGCGCTCTAGAGGCTGCCCATCTGTTGCCATGGTGACTGCCAGTTCATGCAGCTTTGACTTCTCAGATCGGGACAAATCATAAAGTTGACTGTAACCCTGGAGTGGGGGGGGGGGGGGGGGGAGAAGGGATGGGAGTGTATGAGTGTACGGACATTTTTTAACCTGCCAGGAAAAAAATACTGTGAAAAAGAAAAACAGAACAATACAAAGTATATGATAGCAGAATCATTTGCAATATAAAAGTCCCAAGTCTTGGTCATGAACAAAAGAAAACATTAGAAAATAAAATACAATAATGCCCCAAAGCAGGATTTCCTAGAGAATAGCAGAGTAAAAGCAATGCAGTGTGGTTAGGAGAGTAATGTTTAGTCAGTAGTGTTTGCTGTTGACTGTTTTGTTCTCTGCAGGTATTAACCCAGAGGGCAGCACTGACCTGACCCCGGTCTTCCTCTCTACTGTCCTGCTTCTCTTTGCTTGTTTTCCTCTCTTCCAATAAAAAGACCTCAGCTGCTTTTTCAAACATCTATCTTAATAACGCCTGCGGAAAGCTGTGGTCTGAAGTGGTACCGGTTGTTGCTGCAACACTAATCTTTATTTACAGATTCCTCATAAAGATGCAGAATCTGTTGGCACTTTTTTGGAATTCAAGCCTGAGTAGTTCGGTCCACTTGGTTTAGACATTGAGAGACAATCAAGCTTTGATTAATGTCTTTAAATATAAAGTTGCATGCAAGACAAGGTTCTTGGCACCAGTTACAGTTTGGTAGTGAAACTGTAAACATGGAAAGAAAGACAAGACTGGAAGTTCTATGAAGATGACAAACTTTTCAGTGAAGAGTCTGAAATGATCTTCATGGCCATCATATTCTGTGGGAGGAGCTTGGAGAGAGGTTTCAATGATTCCCATGTGTATGTCGAGAAAGGAATAGATATTCTTTCCAAGAAGTCAAGCCCAATCAGTAATGGAGTTGGACTCAGGTGAAGGGTAACCTCTCCATTTTTAAATATTTATCATGAGAATATTCAGATATGAGGCTTTGAAATCCATACGATACATGTATTGTTGAAATTCAATACATGATCTTCATATAACATCCACTGTCAGAATATCAAGGCCCAGGTCAAGACTGAAGAGTATGTGGCTGGGTGACATTTGACTGGCATAACCGCTTGGCATACATAATGTTTTCTGATGTCTTCAGCTGAGCATGAGACTGTCTGAGGGTCACATTTGAGACAATGAGTCATCTCTTGAAATAATGTTGGTCTTTCAGGGCAGATTTTGGAGGTATATTCGCCACCATATGAAAAAAGAAAACAAGTAATCTTCAAGTAATGAGTGATTGAGAGTTTTAGTGCAAATTAGGCTCTTGAGATACAAAACCAAGCCCTCTCCTTTCCATTCATTACTAATGACCATTAGATCAGGATATTCATCAAGAGAGATTGAGAATACAAGTGGCAGAGACGAGGCTTTTCCACAGGTCGTCTGTGTTCACCAGGAGTAGCTTAATGAGGTGGTTCGGGTATCTAATAGGGATGCCCCCTGGCAGTGTTTGTGGGTTGACATTTATAAGTGATGTGATACGCAACGTTGCCAGTCGGAATTACTTTTTTTTTTTTTTTGTAGACGTGGTCATGAAATGCTAAGAGGACACCAAGGATATAAAGCTGAAGGTAGTTTTAAGAAATCCTTGACATTTTGGTAACTCTTTGTGCCCTTGTGAGAACAGAAAATGTAGCAGACAAGACCTTTAACTAATCACCACAAATTAAAATTTGTCTAATTCTGGTACCATAATGATGGAAAAAAAACTTCCATCGAACAGCCCCCATCCCTCTCTACCTCATTTTCTCTCATTGATCCATCTAATGAAGATGAAGAATTACCCAAAACATAATTGTTTTTGAAAAACATTGGCTGTGATCTTGCATGCCGCAGCAACTACAGTCGTATTTGAATTTTAATATAGAACGGTGCTAACATGTACACTTCTTTGTGCTCATTTGGGGATACTGACGCACAATATCCGCAGTGTGTAATTTGCTGTCCTTATGGCAGGTTGAGACGCCTGTGGTGGATTCTTCCCCGATCCTCTATTATTCCCAGCAGCTGGTCACGTACGGTTGATAAATGACCACAGTAAAGCCAAACAGAGCCTACAGGGCTGCTTCTATCCATCTTTTTTCTACCTATCTGCCCTTTGCTGGTTCTTATATCCTTTTTATCTATCTCCAAGGATACAATCACTTCCTGCAACAGTAGATGGGAAGTTATAATGTCGAGATTGGACTGTTGGACTTTCGCCTACATAGCTCTGGCATTCTTTATCTTCTTCCTTATTATGAAAGATACATGCTTTAAACATAGATCAAAAGGGTATAAAGATTATAAGCAAGTGCTGTGTGTGTGTGTGTGTGTGTGTGTGTGTGTGTGTGTGTGTGTGTGTGTGTGTGTGTGTGTGTGTGTGTGTGTGTGTGTGTGTGGGGGGGCAGAAAATACAGATTTGTTATGGTTGTCTTGTGGTCGCATAGCAACACTCAGCTCGCCAAACATCCCTTCTCCCAAGCCCTGCATACATTTTGTCGCAGCGAGGTGACAGCAGGGTCAGTCAGTGTGACTTTGGTTAATGAGATACAGCATGGTGTACATACTGTCTATGCAGCCACATGGCAGGGCTGATTTCAAACAGAAGCCCTCAGGTTTACATTAATGCAACCCTGACTGGCCTCTGTGAGGCTGGAAATGGCCAGAATAAAACCAGAACAACCACAGGAATATAAAACACACACAAACAAACAAACACACACACACATAAACAAACACAGTCTGTAAGTCTAACTAAAAAGTGAACCCATGAACAGGCATGGGAATAAGATGTGAGTGTGTGTTTACATAAGTGTGTTATTCAGCTCAAGAAACAGATTTATTTGTATCCTTTGTAGCTGAGCATTACAGTGTGTTACAATACATTACTATAAATCATTACGCCTTTGTGTTTAACACTGATTCCGATTGGTCAGTTTTAGCATTCTGTAACAGATGGCTGATGTTGGGCTGCATGCACAGTTTGCATATGCATACTCATCATAAAGCCACCAGATTGAAGCTGCATAGAATTAGTAAAGTCTAACCATTTGAGCTTTAAATGTCTCACTCGACATAGTGTATGCTAAAGCACCGCTATGATTTACTGCAGCAAGCGACCTGGCAGGACACAGTACTTGGCATTTACATTGAATGATGGGAAATCTCTATTGCATGTTCTTTTAAGCGACTCCCTGCCATATATTAACAGTAAGAGGACTTGTCACTGTGAAAAATAAAAAAAAGGTTCAAGTGTGTGGCAGATGTGGTCTACCTGCAGGCTGTCTTTGAGTGACAGAATGAAGTCATGGCTCAGGGTGTCCAGGTGGGCCTGTGATTGCTGTAGGTGCGCTAGAGCCTCATCAAAAGTGAATCCTGCTGGGTCGGACCCTTCCTTCTCACCACCACCGTTGCCTCCTCTCTTCCTGCTCTTCTCACCCAGCTGGCGCAGGGCTTTGGTGGCTCGCTTTATCACCTCCGACCTCGCCTGGATGCTCAGCTGGGGATGAAATAGGATGGATTAAAGGAATGGAAGGAGGAGGAGAAGAAAATTGGGGAGACGGTGGTGGTTGAATCAAGTGAAGAGAGGGAAAAGAGAGGTGCACAAGTTATGAACATTCATTTCAAAGTTAACATGTTGAAGAGAGGCAGGTATAACCCAATTTATCTGAGCCAAAACACCAACAGGAACTCGAGTATAATGTGTGTGAGGAGTGTGCGTGAGCGAGACAGATCGTAGCTGCCAGCCTTGTGTAATTGATTCAATGCAGAGAGAGCAGGTTTACCATTCACAGGGGGGGGAGAGAGCCTTTGGCTGTATGTTTTTTTTTTTTTACTCTCTTGCATGGAAGCACAGAAGCGATGACGAGCGCCACACACACACACACACACACACAAAAAAGAAGCTTTAAAATCATCCAACTACCTCAGCCGCACACTCACACACATGCTACTTATACTTCTGCATTTTGTAGATATCACTAACTCAGACTGACAGCACTTTTCTCAGACTGGGTAATGACTCAAATGGAGTTACCCAAAACTATTTTTAGGGTTATTGTTGCGTGCATTTGTGTGTAAGGTGTACATTGTTTAATGCGTGAATAGCCCTGGAAAGGTTTGAAAGATGGAGGATGTTTCCCCTAACAGTGATATCTAAGATCAATACTTCAGAGGGGGGAAAATGCCAACCCACTCTGTTTCCACCTTCAAAATAAACCTCCAGTAGTAGATAAGCTCCCAGCCATCCATCTAAACCTCTTTGGCTTGTGGGAAATGGATCAATCCATCATTAAGGGGCAACAGGGGTGTGAAAGGTCAGATGCATTCCCAACAGCGAGAGTGGACAAGATTTCCACCTTTGAAGGTTTAGAAAGGATAAAAAAAAAGAAAAGAAATAGAAGGTGGAGGAGACATAGAGTTTCTGAGAGTTAATCTGCATGTTAAAAAGCACAGTGGGAAAACAGTGCCTGCTGGGAATTGGAGTTTAATTGGCTCTGAAGTGGAGAGGGATCAATTAGCTCTCTTAGAGTCGACAGGAAATAGAGGGTTCATAAGACAAAAGTAAAAGAAAAAGGAAAGGCCTGCAGAGGCACTGGGGTGGCAAGTTGCCTGTATGAAAAAGAAAAAAAACAGCGGGCTGGTATTGATAAGGTGCTCTGAGGCCCTTTGAGTCCTCTGCAGGACAATTTTTCAGAGTGCTGTAATTATGAGGCTGACATTTCTTGTGCAATTTTATAATTTATTTTATAAATCATGACTGGTATGTGCTTTGAGGCAGCAGAGTGTGGATTTGAACATAATATTATATTTAAAACTAGAAAAAGGGCTTTTGACTACCAAAAAAAATGGAGCCTCGGGGAGTGAGAGATGGGCGGTCAAACGATGATGAGAAGAGAGTGAGGGATATGACAGTTTGATGTAGCGACTGGAAATCCCCACAATCCCTCTTTTTAGATAATATGAATCCTGTCTGGTTGGCCTGCCTGAAACAAACTGCCTGCTGTGCTGCAATTACAGATTGTCTGACTGCCTCACTCCCACCATTTTAAGTGTAAGATGGTAGTGAAACACAGAGCCCCTTCCATATTGGTAAGCATGCGAAAAAAACTAAATATTATCTTTAAACAAAATTCAGGCTTACGTGCTCTGTTGCATCAGGTGAGAACGTGATGCCATCCAGGAAGTGTACAGCATCAGCAGGGACCAGTCTGTCCAGGTATTTGGCGCAGGTGTCATATGCATGGAGGTAGTCTTGGTCGCTCTGTGGGGGTCTCTTCAGCAGCTGGGGGTCTCCTTTCCAGAAGAGCTTCTGCAGCCATGCTGCATGGACTGCACTCGGGGAGACTGTTGCCCCACTCCCACCGGGCACAGGCAGCCGGTTTGCAAGTTTGGAGATGGAGAGTACATTCTGACTGGTCAGGACTGGTTGTAGAGTCGTTAGCGGATCAGCCGCTTCATCAGTCAGCTTTTTGTAGTTTAAACCTGCAAGAGACGGGAAATGTGTGCTGATTTTTGTATACTACATTTGACATAAAATGAATCATGCATAAACAATTGAGATATGAAATGAATAACAGATAATCTCTTTATAATGGCACCTGTCTGTTGTTAAGATATGTTAGGCAGCAAGTGAAAATTTTGCCCTATAGTTGATGTGGTGGAAACAGGAAAACTTTGAGACAGAGTGTGATGGCTAGACGACTGAGTCAAAGCATCACCAAACTTCTGCTCTGCAGTGGTCAGTAAATATCAAAACTGCAGCTCTGCAGGAATTCTGCTGAACTGGTTACAGGGTAATGGGCAGCAAAGAATCTATGATGCACGTTGAGCAAAGGATGACCAATGTGGTCCGATCCAACAGAAGAGCTACTGGAGCTCAATCTGGTAAAAAAAAAAAGAAAAAAAAAGCTGAATACTGATTCGAATAAAAATAAAAAATAAAACAGCAAAGTCATCCAACTAGCAACTTTAGAAGTAAGAATTTAGTTTGAACTGAGGGACGATGTTGAATGCTGAATTTATAGGCAGATGTTTGCCTGCAAAGATTTATAAGAAGGTATATTGTCATCAGATGGCTGACATTAAGAGCTCGGATTTCATTAAAACAGATTGCTTTCTTCCCCCTTTTCCTGCATTCAACTAATGCCTGTTGAAATGCTAGTAGACAGAAGTGGTGGACTACAAACACAACTAGCAGAGCAAAAACAAAATCTAAACAGAAACCAGAATGCCTCTTGCACACAAATGAAGTCATCCATCTACAGATTCTGCTTGAGATGAATATTATTCATATTGCTTTCTCAGGGAAACATTACTGCTGCATGGTTTGATTAACATATATAAACATACATATCCAACACTTAATATTTCAGAAAGTGCCACTTTAAAAAAAGGCCCGTTTGAAGACACTTTTTAACAATATACAGAGCACATACTATGCTTCTATATTCATATAGTTTAAGTGCAAAACATGCAGCACTTCCAGGATAATTACAGTGATTAGATATGCAGAGCTTGTTCAATATTCCATTACATGACAGTAATGAGAAGCGCACAGAGGAGAGTAAATGGTTGATGTGATGTGAACAACAAGATTGCATGTGACCCGTGTGTGGAAGTGCTGTTGTTTGTCTGTCTATGCATGCAAAGGCGTAGTTTGTGGAGCTGTCTGTGCGCGTCACATCTCCTATCACTGCAGAGCTCCGTGTGGGTGTGGTTGTGGGTGTTGTTGTGTGTGAGTAAGTAGAAGCAAGTGGCGTGCTCTTGGTCTCCAGCTCGATCAGACAGACACATTACTGTGGCAACACCACAGTCTGTCTGGGCTTTAAATATTTAACACTGGTCTGCCTGTAGGGAGGGCGCTGTCAACGTTGCTCGGAATCCCTCAGACACACACACACGCACACACACACACGCACGCACACGCACACACGCACACACACGCACGTATAAAACCTTGAGTGCACACAGCACTATACTTTCAGGCAGGCCCTGACGGACACTTAAACCGCAGATAAGAGTTACATGCACTAACACGTGTACTCTCTCTCCCCACCGCGTCCCTCTCTCTGCCGCCATCTCCTCCGCACCCAAGCAGCATTTCATCCCCTTCCTCAGGAGAGCCCACTCAGACAGTCACCTGGTATTGTGTCTGAAATTGTGATGGATATTGGACACACACCACCTGCCTCTATGCTATCTGAATGACTCAAAAAATGATGGGTCTATGAGTGCGTGTGTGTGTGTGTGTGTGTGTGTGTGTGTGTATGTTGATGACTGTAAATGAGCCATTTTGAGCGAGAATGTTTGTCTTAGAGTTTGAGAGTGTGCTTGTAGAAAGTTGTTGGCTCTTGAGACGCTGCAACAGCCTGCGTGTCAATTCTGCTACAAGAGTGTCCATGTGTGGGTGAAGTTTAAGAGTGTTTGTGAACGTGTGTGTGAAGGAGAGACACACACAGTGTTAGAATGCAAGCCACAAAGTCAATGTGTGCTTATTCATGAGTAATAATCCCTTTATGTAAATCATATTTATATGAATATTTGTGTGAGTGTTCATGTCTATAGTAGTTTTAAAGACAACAGGGATGTTAAAAGCGATCGTCCAATCAAAGCTGGGCATTACAGACTAAACAGACTTAATTAAGAGCAACTGACTGTTTTGCTTGTCCTTTTCCATGGTTTAGTTTTCAACGTTCATGTGCTACAGACCCTTTATCCAGCAGCAGGTTCTAATGGTGTTCTGCATGCTCACGGGCTCACTGGGGCACTATTGGAAAGGAATCATCTTTAATGTCATCAACACTTACCTGTGATTTGCTTGCTTTTACAAGTCAATGTCTGTGGTGTGAAATGTCTCCGTTTTAATCGGCGACATAGCCAAATGTACATTTCTCAAAGTTAAAAGGCATATGTCGACATATATGGCTGTGTACATGACCACATACAACAGAGAAGAGAAGGCTGTGATGAACATTTCTAAGTTGATGTTTGTCAGACTACTGATGAAGATAGTCTCTAAGTTTCTTCCAGCTTTGGATGTCCGTTATATAAAGGTGTTATATTTGCTAAAATGAAAGAACCTCCAGGCACTCCAGGTGTGCATTGGCTTTGTATGATGTCTTAGGTTAACTTAAACCACGAGCATGTCTTGCTAACAAGTCTACTTCTTGCTCTGGAAAACAAGCTTTACATCACCCGTCTGGGACTTTAGTTTACAGGGTCTCATGTAATTTCTTTGAAAATGTTGTTTATGACTAACACTAGCAGTGGTTCTCAACTGGTGGGTAGGGACCTAAAATTGGGATGTGGTGCACCTTTCAGTGCTGCAGTGTGTGCCTGGAAAAAAAAGCTTGCATAAAAGTTTATGATTTGGTAGGTTCTGTCTCTTTGCTTTTTTTTTTTTGTCTTGTCTGAGGTCCAAACTGCCCTTTGTTGTCATTAAATTAATCTAAATAAAGAAATTTGGGTCACAATTTCTCATTAAGGCAGTGGTGATGGGGCCTGAGGCTAGAACATTTGAAAAACCACTCCACTATAGTAACTCCCAAACGTGTGGCTCCTGAATGCTATCTCTGCTTTTGTTAGATCTGGAAGAGTTCACACTGCAGTAAAATTAAAATAAGGCAGATAGTGTAGTGGTGGAAATCACCAGAGGCCCCACGATACGATATCATCATGATACTTTAGTCATGATACGATATTATTGCAATTTTAAACATTTTGCGATATGCTGAGAAATGTGATGCAATGTATTGCAAACTTTAGCAACAGTTATATGTAGGTGGGCTTAGCCGTCATTTTCCTATGAAATGATTTGATACAGTCAGAGTTCGTAAGTGAAACTAAAATGTGGCAGGAACAGCATGAGCTAAAAGTTCAGGGCAGTTTCGTTAAATTATGCAGAAAAGCATTTAAGTCTTGATGTGGATGACTCAAGGGTGTGCGTATGTGATTTGGGTCCGTGTGTGTGTGCCTGTGTTAAACAGAGACATGTGTCACCGGTAAAAGCTGTGATGTTATCAGGAGCAGAGGGAGGGAAGTGAGGCGTGAAAACACAGCTGACACCTGGCTGACCTTTACTGAACTTCACCGAGAAGTGACACCACCCCTCGGCCCGTACACAAGCAAGTTTGAGCACTCTACCCGGATCGCTGAACCGGTGACACGCTACAAGCTCGACATGACGTCCTTGGAGAGGGTGCTGCCATGGAAATTTAAGAGGAAACGGCATCTTGCTGTGATGCTGCAAGTGTTTCAGGTGCTTTGTGAGTTAGGTAGACTGACAACTAATGCATAGGGCAATTGCCTAAATGGTTGTTTACAGGAAAATGGGAACAGATGTGGTTGTTTAAAATCCAGTTTCTTAACAATTTTTGAACAAAATATGAGCGCTGGTGGGGGAGAGAGAGAGAGAGAGAGAGAGAGACACTATGGGTACAAGTAGAGTACAGATAAGTTTAAGGTCATTTTGAAAGTCGCTTAAAAACAAACAAAAAAAAAAAAAAAAAAAGATTTCCCAGCTTGTTCTCGGGCCAAAAATGCTTCACAAATTTGGGCATTCAGCTGTTGTACTTTTTCTACATGACAGTGACTTTAAGATATCTAGCGGCAAGGATGAATGTCAACATCTGTATGTGAGTCATCTTGTCAAAAGGGATTATGTTCAACTCTTTAAACACTGAACTTTATTTCTGGACACGAAAGGCTTAGGGCGTATTTTCCATGAATAAGAGAGGTGCGTTAACCCTTGGATTCAAGGCTTTTTAAAAATCTTTTTTTGCATCTTTTAAGAACCCAAAATAATTAATCACTGTTAATTAAGTGAAAGATTTATTTTTTTAAACAGGAACATTGCTGCACATGAATAACTTATGTTCTTTGTCTTTAACTAAACATCTTTTATAAAATACTGCACAAGAAATGTGTGCATTTTATATAAATAGGAAAAGTTTCATTATTAAGATGAAACATCATTAAGACTTTAGAAGAAGAGTAGCAAACCAAATGATATATCTGATCACCTGATTGTAGTTAGACATGTTTTTTATTCAGCAATGTCTGTATTTTGATCAAAATGAACAAGCACACACCCTCCATTTGACCAGGTGGTTAAATCTGAATAACAGATTTATTATCATTCTGAAAACTTCTTGTAATGTTCTGGGTGATGCATCAAACAGACACATTTTGCAATCAGACTTTACCTGGAATATTTCCTGCCAGCCCCTTAAGTAAGATTTCCTTGTGAGGTAAGAATGGGGCGATGTGAGAACGCAGCAGGAAACAATTAGAAAAATTCACCATGAGTGAGTGCAAGTGGATGATGACATGTATATCCTACAACCGGTGTATGACCATAGGCAGTATCTCTGGTGCAATCTCCACGCACACAATGAAACGGTTTCATTATGTTTTCTTATTGCCAGTGTGTTCTTCTCTGCTGTTTACTCGATACACTAAATGTGTCACACCACACACATCCAGGATACACTTAAGGATAAAGGCAAAAAAAAGTTCACCATAGCGTCGGACTCTGTTGCTTTGTCCGCTGCTTCCTTGTTTTACTTTATATGTCTCAGAGGTGCATGTGTGAACAAAAAAGTCAAGAAGATTTCACGGGCAGCCTTTCTAAAATTATCTAAAGACTTTGAAGTAAAAACAGCTTATAATAGAAAAAAAACGTTAAAAAAACGTCCTTACCATTGGCAACAGCTTTAAGCTTCTTGAGTAGTTTGACATGGGAGTCTGGCTTGATGATGGTGGTGGCGTACGGCTCACAGCCTGCCGCGTCTAGTAAGGTGTAGTAGTAGAGCAGACGGCTCTGGTCACTTCCCTCCACGGTGGGTAGAACGTATTTAGTCATGTGGCTGTAAAAAGCCTGAGGGTTGCACTTCAAGGTGTCAAACAGGCTGAGGGAGTCGCTTCGGGACTCAATATCCTTGGTGGAAAGACTAGGAAGAAACAAACGAGAAGAAAATTAAATGATTAGTTTTATTAACTACACTTTCTTTATAACTACATATCCCAACATAAGAATGTATAAAGTGTTTATAACCATATTAACACACAACTATAATCCTCAAATCCCCAATTTCAATGCTCTTACTGCTATGCAAGATATTTCCTCTCTATGGAAAAGATCCATCGGTGCAGTTGGTGTGGAACACTTTACAGTACATTTCTAGCATCGGGAGCATTTTAAAAGAATCAAATTAAGATGTAAGTAGATCCCAAAAGCAGCAGTAGCCACCATGCCCGCAAAAAAAGATAACAGCAATATTGAGAAAATTCCAAATTTCATCAACAAACAAATCAAAGGAGGAAGACTACTGGCTCTGAGACAGTGTGGTTTGCAAAGAGGTACTTGAAAAACACTTTGCAAAAGCAGCATAGCGAGCTTATCACCAAAGACACAGTCCCTCCGAAAAAAAAAAAAAAAAAAAAGATGAGGATTCTTTAGATTAATACAAAGAATATATTTAACAACTTAGCCATGTCTTAGATGGAAAAAAGGCTAAACGGGGACAAGGGGTAAGAAAGATGGATAGGAAAAGAAAGGCTTACTGTGGAAAAAAAAGTCAGTGTGGAAGCCTATTCAGCAATTTGTTCAAGTTGCACATGACTTGTGCTCAGCTTTGCTTTAAAAAAAAAACAAAAAAAAAACATGTTTTACCACCGAACATAAAGTCAACAAACAGCAGGTGGTCTAGGACAAGTGAAAAGAATACAAAGAGCAGAGAGAGCTGAAGCGGGGAAGGAAAAACCTCAGAGAGCAGCAAAACAAAGGTTAAACAAGGAACGATACAAGGACTGGGAAAGGTGAAGACAAAGGAAAAGCTGGCTGCTGGTTGTCACCGAGGGGCTCCGAGCAATCTGCGGCGTTCTGGGAGTGTGTGTTTGCGTGAGTGCGAGTCTGTTTATCTGTTAGAACGGGACAACATCAAAGAGACGATGTTTTCCTCTGGGTTGCCACGTCAGAGCTAGCTGGGAGGCTTTCACTGATAAGAAAAATAAAATAATAAAAAATAAGACACAACACCAACAGAGTGGAGGAAACAGACAATTAACTCAATAATGCAAATAACACTCTAATCATCTCCACAACAGGGAGGCTCTTATATTGGACTCAAATGCAATAACTCATTCTAAGAGTCACTTTTCTTTTCGTCTCTTTCCTTAAGTGCACACTCTCTTTGGCCGCCCGAAACCCCAGATCACACTCTTATGTTTCATTATTTAAACACATTAGCTCCGAAGTGATTAAAGGCAAGAGAACAATGGTGAGAGGAACAACTTCTTGTCCAGGTAGGGCTGCTTGATGTTTGGTGTTTAAGACTTTTTCCTGGCACCGTGTACACAGCTAGAATTAAAGTCAGCAGCAGTCAGTGGCAGAAATTGCCAAGTACTCATGTCAGGCTGTGCTTTAGCTTGAGTGAGTCACTTTAGTTCTTCAAAAGCCATGTTGTCGTCTTTTCCTCTTCATCTAGTGACAAAAGGTGTTTACTGCCCTCCGCTCCTCTCTCCTCTCTTCAGCTTTTAACATCTCTCTTGCCCAATGTTTCATAATGAGTCTTCTGCATGCATGCTTTGCTCTGAGTTGTCTCCTTTGCACATGAACACAGTTTCCCACTCCAGCCATGTTGTCTTCATTTAGCTGTGATATCAGGAGACACTCATTACAATCTCTTCTTTTTTTTTTTGCTTCAAAAGCCAGAGCGAGGAAGCGATTTAATCCGGTGGCGTAATCCTAATTCTATCCTCTCTTATCTCTCCCTCCTTCCCCATTTTACCATATTCTGTTTGTTGTGTCTTCTCTTGACAAAAATAGACTCCTAATATTCTTTAATTCAGAGGCACATTTAATTGCTGTGGAAATCTGACGGTCGGAAATAACCTCTTGGGGGGCTTAGGCGGAGAAGGGATGATTACTCAGCACATCATTGTCATTTGAATATATTAGCAAGCTGGATTGTATTTTTGTTTTTTTTTAAATCAATGCTGCTAATTTGTTGAGTTTCTGTTTTGTAGGCGGTTGTAGAAAGGGTTTTGTGCTGTAGAGTTCAGTGCAGAACAATGGCTCTAAGAAACTGTGTATATGAATCTTCTTGCTTTGATTTGATGGGGGACATTCTCAACCAGGGGCTGAAAAGCCTCAGCTGGCAGGGACGCCAATACACGATTTAATTTGAACTTGTACTTGCTAGAGGAGTTCGACAGATGTACAAACAGACAGAAGCGCTACCGAATTCAAAGGTGTCCTCTGTGTCTCTGAGGATTCCTCATTAGGCTCAAAGCAGAACACGTCTGGAAGATGAGTAAGAGGGGAAGGTGTCACAGAAGACGAGGCAAAGACTGATCTGTCAAAAAAAAAAAAAAAAAAGCAGCTGCTGGCGGCAGGTACGTTCTTAAATAAAGAGCTTGGAGGTGAGTTATTTAAAACGTCAAGCGTGATGTTTTGTTTGGATCAGCTGACTGTCAACTGGTGCAGAACACAGTTTATTTGTGCCCTGCCTCAAGTAATCCCAACGTTGTTTATTCTACCTGAATTCATTAAGACTGACTAATTGTGAAAAAACTTTTCGCAAAAATTCAGACAAGCTTCACACAAAGTATTTCAAAATCAAACCAAAGCTTAGACAAAGGGGAGAGGAAAAGCTAGGGCAAGTTAGAGAATTGCAGGTGATTTCAGGGGTAGAATGTCAACACCCTCTCTGTTGATTGACAAGTCATTGAAATGCTTTAATAGCCTGTCATTAAATAGTCAATTTAAGCGGCTGAAATTCATGTCCCTAAAGACAGGCAGAGTACATCTACAAAGATGTACGCGCTATACGCACAGAGAGAACAGCTGACGACGGTGGTGTTTAGCAGTGCATTGATTCCTCTAAAGCGTTCACTCTGTGATAATAGGACCGTCTCAGGGACACTCTGCCTCTATCATCCATCTCGTCTTCCTCCATCTATCTGTTCAGTCCCTCCATCAACCCTCCATCCCCTCTCAGTAACAGAATTTGTGGCCGTTTCTCCACTTAACAACTTTCCTCCACACGCAGTTGTTAGTAACACTTAAAGACAACTCTTTGTAATCATTTGACCTGATATATACCCATACATTTTTTTATATTTGTCACCCTCTGACCATGTCTTCCATGTACATATGTTGATATGTTTCATATGTCAGAATTAGACCCTGTCCAAAATTTGTAGTGGGCTCTTCCTTGGTCCATGCTGCACCCTTACACCAAATTTCATACAAATTGTTGAAAGTATTTTCTTCACAATGCTGCAAACAAAAAGACCAAACACCCAAATTCATAAACAAAAACAACTATCAATTAGTGGTGGCGTTAATGTAGTTGTTTTTCTCTTTGTGCAATATGAATGTTTTTCTTTTTTCATTTCTAGTGACATGTTGCTCTTTTATCTTTCCTAATTTAAATGAAATCATTGCTAAGTTAAAGCTACTGTGAGGAATTTTGGTTCGTGTTGATTTTGGCGCCCCTTGTGGACAAAGTGGTACCTCTTATCTCAGCACTGGCCTCAGGACTGAACTTGATCTCAGGGCACAACCTTGTGGCCAAGCTGCTTCTGCTGCTGCTGCTAAACAGTTAGTATGAGAAAAATTAAATGAATGTATTTCCTTACAAGGATCAATAAAACTTCAGATTCCATCTCACAGTCGTGATTTGTCTTTGTGTGCATCTTTTCCTTTAAGTTCTCCTCGGTCTGCTCTATTTAGATCAGTCCCTGAATCCATACATCCATCCGTTAAATCAATACCCATATAGCGGTTCTTCTATTCAAGATTATAGGATAAATATTCTTCACACATTTGTCATGATCTTCAGATTCAGGTGGAAACCCCACACACTCCAGCAGCAGTGGTCGGTTTGAAGAAGGTACAGGTTGTAATTTATCGTTAAATGGAGGCCATAAACCATTTCCTTATATCAGAATGCGACTGGGGAGAATTTATCACACATGCACACTTGTGCACACTTGTGCACGCGAACACACACACACACACACACACACACACACACACCCGCACACATCTAAAACTCTGCTGAAAAAGCATTCTATTAAAACAAGTAAAGGTGCAGAGCTAGTCAGAGCCACAGCTATGAAGTCGGAGAGCAAATAAATTATGAAAATGGAGTCTGACACACACACACACACACACACACACACACACACACACACACACACACACACACACACACACACACACACACACACACACACACACACACACACACACACACACACACACACACACACACACACACACACACACACACACACACACACACACACACACACACACACACACACACAGATCCTCTCTACCACTAAAACACATACACATTGTTTAATGTGTTTTTATTCATTATTCAGAGGTTGGTTCAACTTTAATTTTCTAAATATATTTCAGAAATTCAAAACACATGACAAGAGATGTGCACATAGAAAAACTAAAATATAAGCATATAGTGTCTTTATCAACAAATGCTGATAAAAGGAGCATTTCTGATGTTGCACTGTGACGAAGAACTATTTCCAACAGACAAAATGTCAAAAGTGATGGGAACCAAGAAACACAGAGGGGTATGAGTTGAAGATGCCAAGGGAGAGGTTATGTGATAGTGTTACACGTGTTGTGTGTGTGTGCGTGTGCGCGCACATACCCGCTATCTGTGAAGAGGAACTCGAGGTGAGTCATGTAGACCTCCCACAGAGGAATACTGTAGCGTTTAGCCAGAGACAAAGCGATCTTGTACACTCCATCATCCAGGGTCCTGAACACAAAGAGACACACAGGCAGACAGGAAGGAAGTTATGATCAGACTTCATCACATCGAAGCAAGCAGAGACATAACTCACACTCCTATTCATCAATGGAATGGATTGGAGAAAAAAAAATGCAGATCAAGTAATTCACAGCTTTGCAATGACATTACAACCGAAAGCTTTGTACAAGTTTTTCTAATAACCGTAGTGTCTGACAACACATACTCTGTTAGGCCGAGGATGGTCTCCTTCTTGTAGTCAGAGTCAGAGCTGAAGCGCTGGACGTCCACGCCGCGACCCAGCCCCTGTAACACCTGAGCCTGGGTGAAGTCTGTCAGACGCTCATTGTACACCTGCAGCTGGCCGATCAGCTTCTGAAGCTCCTCCGGCCAATCGGAATAAGCAGTCACATGCTGTGTGACCGATCGGATCAGCTCTTTGGGATCAGCCTAAGGAAAGGGGAATAATACTTTTATTAGACACAACCAGCTGCTTCATTCATGCTGGTAAAGCCTCAGAGTGTACACAGGACAATGTGCTATGAACCTGGACGTGCAGATGCCCATTTACCTAAGGTGACTGAAAACCTCCACTGACTAAACCTTCCTGCCTGCTAGACTGGATATTAAACGTTGCATTTTGAAATGAGTGTTTGCCTGATCGCAGTTACGATTTAATACAGAATTCTTCAATAATACATACACACTTACGTACATACGCATCTTTTTCCAATAAATAGAAAAACATATGTGTAGGTATGGAAAAGTGTAAATAACAACACTAAAAAACGTATCGAGGTTGTATGGTTCTGCCGACTCATCAAGTTTACATTCCCCTACGTGTTTTCCACAGAATGACATTGAGACTCTAAGTCGGGATGATATTTGTATTGAAATACTTGTAAAAAATACCCTACAAACTAAACAATGGCCTCAGAAGCCCTATATTAATTGGGAGAGGACGATAATCCTGTACAGGAGGGACTTGATACTAGAAGCCCCACAGCAGTAATTGTCAACACTCTTTCAGTAAAACACACAGGTATATCATGTAGATGTAGACAAAGGGAAGATTAAGGACCATGATTCACAGGTTACCTTGTACAATGAGAAGGTTTAACCAAACTAAGAACAATAAAACTAAGATCAAATAAATCCCCTGAAGGTGTTTCATAGAAACTGTGTTTATGAGAATTTGAAAGATGTGATGTTTCAGTGACCTTAACCTTTGAAAAGTAAATTGAAAATTGGGTTATCCAGGAGTTCAAGTGTTACAACCAAATTTAAAGAAACTCACTATAGTTATAAAGAAACTCAAAACTCATTATGCTCATCACTTAAAGATACAATATGTAGATTCTACCTATTTGTAACTCACTCCCAACACAGCTTGTAAATTATAATTTAACTATTTTGCTGTATTTTCTTTTTACTCTTTAACCATAACCAAAGGAAAAAAAACCTTAAGGGATATTTATAATCTTTCTTATTATATATAAAGAAATAAAAATGCATAGAAAAGCACTCAAACTTGCAAAAAGAAATGAAACTTTTATGTCTTTTATTAAACTCCAACAAAGAGAACCACTGGATCTAATTTGGCAGACTCTTATATAATATATTTTTCATCTTTTACTCTAATTTGATTTCAAATGTAGAGAAATAAAATGAGGTGAACTGCGCAGTTGAAGCCTGGTTTGACCAATTGTGAACTGCCCTTAAGGCTCATCATTAAACTCAGTGACACACTGAGCGTGGAATAGCCTGCACTGTGTGGTGTATAAAACTTCACAGCTCTTTCACTGCTTTGCAGTGAAGACCTAATGAGGCTATTTTCAAAAATGGCTGTAATTTAGAAAAATCTGTGGATAAAAGTAGGGGCAGACAAACTACCCTGCCACTACCTCTATCATTTTCCTTCCACTAAGAAATTGACTGCTGCAACGGAGTTAAATCAGATGACTCAACGGGCACCTTTCTTTCCTTGAAGGTGAAAAAATATGGCCAAATATACCAGGAAGCATAATTGATACAGTTATTCAGACATATCACGAAACACGACTGTGGATACACAGTTATGATTGAGAGTGTGATGCGAAGGGAGCGCTAGGTGGATGTTGTATCTCGCTCATCAACTCTGTTCTAATTAAACCAGCTCCTGAATTTGGTTTTCAGCGTCTTATTTTCTGTTGCCCAGCAGGAAGAGATGTTTATTTGTTGATCTTATTTGCATAAGGTAATTATGACTGCTGGAAAAGTAGAAGCATGAAAACAGAGGTGTTTCTGTCACTGTGTCTCTTCCTGCTCTACTATGTGTGTGTGTGTGTGTGTGTGTGTGTGTGTGTGTGTGTGTGTGTGTGTGTGTGTGTGTGTGTGTGTGTGTGTGTGTGCGCGTGTGTGTCTTTGGTTGGGGCCTCAGTGGATGTCATTGTAGCAGATTCACAGTTCAAAAAGGCAGCAGAGTTAGGAGAAGAAGAAATAGAAAGTGGGGATATTAAAGGTGTAAAAAGGTACAGACTGGATGTCAAAGGGGGGGAGGTAATAAGCCAGCAGACAGGAGAGGTAAGGAGAGCAGGATGGTTTTTGTTAATGCTGTCGTCATTTTAGACTCAATTTCCTGACGAGGAAGAATGAAACGCAAAAGGAGACCACAGAGAGCGAGAAGAAAGTGTGCTGACTCTGTGATGGACAGGCCTGTGTTTGAAGAGATTTATTGAAATCAGGCTTTCATGATGAAATACTGTTTGCATTCTCTCTCTCGCTCGCTCGCTCTCTGTGTTATTCATCTACAATACTTTGTCCTTTTGGCTATGTGGATAATATCCTTTCCTCTCGCCTCCCAGAACTTGAATCCCTCAAATTCTTTATCCTTTCACTTTCACTTCTTGCGAATCCCTACATTTCTTCTACCTAATAAGTACTCCTCGCAATCCTGTTTCAAATCAAGCAAAGACAGAACTAGCTCTTCTTTTTGTCTTGTCTAATTACTTGCTTTTCTTTAAAAACACAAACACTGCCTTAAAAAAAAAAAAAAAAAATCCTGTTCAAGTCTTTCGTCAAAGGAGAGGATGTATAAACTGTATGTTGAGTATAACAGCACAAGGTAGTGTGTGATGTTACACAGCTGGGAGGAAGCCAGCTCTCTCAAGCTCTCCCTCTTAGATATTTCTACGGCTGCCACAGGCTCTTTTCTCTCGAGCTCCCCTCCTCCCTGATGCTGCTTGAGGAGGAAAAGTATAAAAATAAAATAAAGTCTACGCCTCAGTCTCAAATCATTTCAACCACGCTTTGCTCTCTCATTTATTTTCACTCTTAATTTCCCATGTTATTATATTTCAGTCACAGGCCTGAACCCATCCAAAAAATCCCATTTTCCCTTTTCTGAGGCTGTCTGGTTAAATATGTGAAACAACGCTCTGAGCTAATCAGTTTTGCTACTGTCATTTACTAAATCTTAATATTACAGCGCCGTAAAATTAAGGTTAGATGACTATGAATATGCTATATACACCATGTTAAATCAGATGAGACATATTATTTTACTGAAACTGTCACTATTGTGATAATTAAGGTAATATGCATCGCAGAGTATTCATTTGAGATCTTAAACTGGAATATTCAAAGACATGCTAGCTGCTATTGGAGGTTTCAAGCGCAGCAGTTCTCTGAAAAGGAATGCAAAAGACAGCATGCTAGGGACACATGTAGACTGGATGAGAAAACTCCTGAGTCATTTGAGCGTTTGCCAGAACATCCTTAAGGCCAACTGAAAGTCCTTCTCCATAGCTGTCCCGAACTCCTCATGCACCGGGATTTGTGCTTGACGCAACTACTGAAGCCACAGCCCTCTGCGCAACCCATTACCTGTCTGCTGCTTCCAGAGATCCCTGGGCCTCATTCGTCAAACTGCCAAATTGGCTAAACTACAGTGCTCTCACTTGAATGCTACGGTTAGTGTTGCAAAAACCAGTCTTCCCATTTTCCCATCAGTCTTGCAGCCTTCTGTTGTAATGAAGCATAGTCTTGATAAATACTCATCACAAGAGTGTAACATTACAGTGTTACAGTAATAACTTCTATGTGAGGTTTTGGTGTTAAAGGGTTGGAGTCTTAATATAATATACTTCTGTTAACATTATCAAAGACAAATAATGCCAGACTGAGATACTAAATTACTCAGGCTAAACTAGTGTTACAAACATCATCCCTCTCTGTGTCTCTGTGTGCTAACAAAACAGAGGGGTTATAGAGAAACAGACATGCCTTCTTTCTCTGGAGACTTAGCTAGTAATAATCTTAATGAGTTTGGTTTATGTCATGTTTAACACTTAGCTATACAGTCAGTGGCCTCATTAGCACTAATTCTGCAAATGATGTAAACAGTATGTGCATATGATTAGGAGGACACCAAGAGGGAGAGGAGCCCATTCTGAAAGGAATAATGACTCCAGAAACTCGGCTGCACTGTGGGTTATAATGCACCACGAAGGGGACCGATCACAAGAAAGATACAAGCCTGATAATACGGCACAGTCAACCCAGTGCATCTAATCAAAGATTTAGAGACAACTTACTCTCAAATATTCACAGTCAACTGCAACATTGCATCTAGAGTGCATTATTTGTCTAATAGGGCCCTTTCTGCAGCTCCTCCACTGCACACAGCTCCCATGAGTAAAATATAGACTGCTAATGATTTTGGTACAAGGGTGCAATTTGTACAAGTGCACAATTTGTACAAAGAGGGGGAAAGTGAAGTCATGTGGTGCTTCTCCATGGGGGGGGGGGGGGGGGGGGGGGGAGTCATTCAGTCTCACTCATTATTCCAGTCAATTCAGCGACAAGGAGCAGGCTCAGTGGTCTTCCAAGGTCAACCCCTGCGACTGGCGGTTTGAACTCTGTTAAGGCCATGAATTGAAAAAATCTGCAAAGGCTGAAGGCAGTGTTAAGTGAGTAAAGTGCTGTTTTATCAAATGACCTCGATGCTATTAAGGGGAGGCTTTCATCTCCTCTTTTCAAATGATCTCAACCAAGCAGGTGCTCTGGTAAACTTTCTGCTTTACTGTTTAGGACAGCAAAACTAAAAGTTCCTTCTGGCAGAATCAAAAAAACAAATTTATATACCTAATAAAGGTGAAAATATTCTTTCCAATTCACTGACTCCATCTGACTATATGACCTGAAAGTAAAAGTATCTAACAATGATCTCTTGGCTTTTGTTATAAATCTAAATTTTAGAGAGCTAATCGTTTTTCTGCATGATAAACTCTAAATTCGTGCTCTGTCTATCTAAATACAATTGTGTACGCTTTAGATGTGTGTGTGTGTGTGTGTGTGTGTGTGTGTGTGTGTGTGTGTGTGTGTGTGTGTGTGTGTGTGTGTGTGTGTGTGAAGGTTAAAGTCAGCAATACTCAGTGAAGGAATGCCAACTGCAGGCAAAGACAAATGTT